TTCAAAAAACTTGCCACGCCTCTTATGAAATACATCCGACTATCTACTTTGCAAAAAGGGGTCATTTGGGGGATATCTGTACTGTTCTGACATTTTGGGGCCTCAAGAAATTAGATTGGCTGTCAGTACTTCAGGATTGATCAATTTTCAGATATATTCTACAGTTTCTGAACTCTATAACTTTCATACAGACTAAATAATAAATACTGATTTGGGTTATTTTCACCAAAGAAATGTAGCAGAATACATCTTGGCCTAAATTTATGAGGAATAATTATTTATCTGCAAACTTTTATAACAGAAACAAAGAAAAATGTGGGATTTTTTTCAAAATTTTCTGTTTTTTTTTGTCAATTTAGCAAGAAATAAAACCCCAGTGGTGATTAAATACTACTGAAAAGAAGCTCTAGTTGTGTGAACAAAATTATAAAAATTTAGTTTTGGTACAATGTTGCATGACCGCGCAGTTGTCATTCAAAGCGTGAGAGCGCTGAAACCTGAAAATTAGCCTGGGCAGGAAGGGGGTAAAAAAGCTTGGTATTGAAGTGGTTAATAGAGAGATGCATTGTTTGTGTTTTTTTTTTATATCTGTCTAACATTTAACTTTAAGGGAAGTGGGATCTTGTACCCTCTTGTGGTCATTTTATAAGAAAGATCTTGAGCTCGACATCCAATGTCCTTCAAAATTATCAGAAAATCTTCTAATCTTTAAAACTCAATAAATTCAGAAGTTCTTTACTGACTTTTGAGTAAAAGCTTTCATAGTTTACAGTAAATATAATATATTATATCATATGAAATAATATTTTATATAACATTATAAATATACTTTTTTTCATTAAATAAAAATGTTTCTATATAGTGAATGTGAGGTAGAATAGTATGACATCCCCATCATTTAGGTAGTCTGTTCTCTTGTATTATTATGCCCTAGTACATTTATAACAAAATTAGGTTTTCGTTTCTTAAATCTCCAATAAGATAGAATCTACTTCAGTTATTTACGAATTACTTAAGAGAAATGTTAAATAAATTCTAGTTTTCAATACCATCTTAATGTGTCATATACAGTCATGGCCGAAAATTGTTGGCACCCTTGATATTTCTCCAGGAAATCAATGTATTTCTCACGAAACGTATTGCATTAACACATGTTTTGCTATACACATGTTTATTCCCTTTGTGTGTATTGGGACAAAAACAAAAAAAGGGAGGAAAGAAAGCAAATTCGACATAATGTCACACAAACCTCCAAAAATGGGCTGGACAAAAGTATTGGCACCCTTTCACAACTGCGGATAAATAAGAATGTTACAAGCATGTGATGCTCCTGTAAACTCACCTGGGGCAAGTAACAGGTGTGGGCAATATAGAAATCACACCTGAAAGCAGATAAAAAGGAGAGACGTTCACTTAACCTTTGCATTGTGTGTCTGTCTGTGCCACACTAAGCATGGACAACAGAAAGAGGAGACGAGAACTGTCTGAGGACCTGAGAACCAAAATTGTGGCAAAATATCAACAATCTCAAGGTTACAAGTCCATCTCCAGAGAACTAGATTTGCCTTTGTCCACAGTGCGCAACATTATCAAGAAGTTTGCAACCCATGGCACTGTAGCTAATCTCCCTGGTCGTGGACGGAGGAGGAAAAATTGATGAAAGATTGCAACGCAGAATAGTCCGATGGTGGATAAGCAGCCCCAAACATGTTCCAAAGACATTCAAGCTGTCCTGCAGGCTCAGGGAGCATCAGTGTCAGGCGCGAACTATCCGTCGACATTTAAAGAAATGAAACGCTATGGCAGGAGACCCAGGAGGACCCCACTGCTGACACAGAGGACATAAAAAAGCAAGACTACAGTTTGCCAAAATGTACTTGAGTAAGCCAAAAGCCTTCTGGGAAAACGTCTTGGTGGACAGATGAGACCAAGATAGAGCTTTTCGGTAAAGCACATCATTCTACTGTTTACCGAAAACGGAATGAGGCCTACAAAGAAACAAAACACAGTACCTACGGTAAAATATGGTGGAGGAGGTTCAATGATGTTTTGGGGTTGTTTTGCTGCCTCTGGCACTGGGTGCCTTGACTGTGTGCAAGGCATCATGAAATCTGAGGATTACCAAAGGGATTTTGGGTCGCACTGTAGGGCCCAGTGTCAGAAAGCTGGGTTTGCGTCCAAGATCCTGGGTCTTCCAGCAGGACAAATGACCCCAAACATACGTCAAAAAGCACTCAGAAATGGATGGCAAAGAAGCGCTGGAGAGTTCTGAAGTGGCCAGCAATGAGCCCAGATCTAAATCCCATTGAACACCTGTGGAGAGATCTTAAAATTGCTGTTGGGAAAAAGGTGTCCTTCCAATAAGAGAGACCTGGAGCTGTTTGCAAAGGGAAGAGTGGTCCAAAATTCCGGGTGAGAGGTGTCAGAAGCTTATATGATGGTTATAGGAAGCGACTGATTTCAGTTATGTTTTCCAAAGGGTGTGCAACCAAATATTAAGTTAAGGGTGCCAATACTTTTGTCCAGCCATTTTTGGGGTTTTGTGTGACATTATGTCATATTTGCTTTTCTGCCTCTGTTTTATATTTGTTTCCAATACATACAAAAGGGAATAAACATGTGTATAGCAAAACATGTGTTAATGCAATACCTTTTTTGTGTGAAATACTTGATTTTCAGGAAAAATATCAAGGGTGCCAACAATTTCGGCCATGACTGTAATTCCCAAGCTATCCACCTATGAATGTTAATGAAAAGTCCTTCATTATAGTCATATAGACTAGTTCTTTTTTAAACAAATGTAATTTATATTCGATGAATGTTAGATTGTAACTAAGCAAGGTTACCATACCTGTTAAATATTTTACATATTTTATTCACAATGTATAAAAAGAAAAGTTTTTGTATACCCAAAAACTTTTTTTTTTGTGTGTGTATTTTTGGATAGAGTAGGGAAGGATTGGAACCACTGACAAGCTTTTATTGCTGTCATTAGGTAGATTCACTGTTTTGTGTAATGATTACCATGGTCGCAAAGACAGAGAGTGATAGGATATCCAAAATACCAGAACAAGATGAGGGGGAAAATATTAGAATGGGTACACATGTTCCGGTGACAAGCGTGTAAGAGGAAAATTCTCCTCATTTTGTAGAAATATGTTCTGTTTCATCTCAGGAACAGGAAGGGAAATCTTCCCTTCAGGACACAGACAACTAATAATAAACCAACAGGGATTTTAATCTATTCCTACTCTATCCAAAACAAAACGGCTATACATATACTTTACCTGTATACACTACTGTAAAACTTAATAATACTAATGATAACTTTTTTTGAAAAAAGGAATGCCCTGTACATATGGGGCTCTAAACACAAGTACTATGCAGGACAGCATTCATCCCTGTCCAGCCGCAGCAAAGACTTTGAGATGCTACAAACAGTAGGGCTGGATGCTCTACCTGTGCCTCCCAGATGCACTAAAATGCCAGGATCGGACACACAGGGGCTGGACACTCATCGTGCAATTGACATAAGTTGCAGGCTCAGAGATGATAAAATGATACAGTCATAGGCATGCATATCCTGTTGCATTAGGGCAGGGGGTCTGCAACCTTTAAGACATAAAGAGCCACTTGGACCCGTTTCCGAGAGGGAAAAAAAGACTGGGAGCCGCAAAAACCATTGCAACATTTAAAACAAATCCGACACTGCATATATTGCAAAAAGCGCTCTGGTCATGAAGGGGGTTTAAGGGCCCAGTAAGCAAAGGGTTAATCAGGGCCACAGTGTATCGTCATAATCACAATCATAGCCTTAGGTCAGTGGTGGGCAACCTTTTTTTTCAACTGAGCCAAATCTCGCCAAAACCACGATTGAAATTTATTTTGAGAGCCACATTTTTTTAAAACTGAAAATACATCCCCCATATAGTAATTCATCCCCCATAGTAATTCATCCCCCATAGTAATTTCATCCCCCATAGTAATTCATCCCCCATATAGTAATTCATCCCCCATAGTAATTCATCCCCCATATAGTAATTTCATCCCCATAGTAATTCATCCCCCATATAGTAATTAATCCCCCATATAGTAATTCATGCCCATAGTAATTCATCCCCCCATATAGTAATTCATTCCCCATATAGTAATTCATCCCCCATAGTAATTCATCCCCCATATAGTAATTCATCCCCCATAGTAATTCATCCCCCACATAGTAATTCATCCCCCATAGTAATTAATCCCCCATATAGTAATTCATCCCCCATAGTAATTCATCCCCCATATAGTAATTCACCCCCCATAGTAATTCATCCCCCATATAGTAATTCATCCCCCATAGTAATTCATCCCCCATATAGTAATTTACCCCCCTATAGTAATTCATCCCCCCTATAGTAATTCATTCCCCATATTGTGTCAATTCACTTACCTTTGCTCCGCGCGTTCCTCTCGCCGTGTTCCGCGCCGTTCCGGTCTTCAGGGCGGACTGTGTGAGGAGAGGAGTTCGTCACGCTGCCCCGCCTACATCCTGACAGCCAATGTTTGCCACGCTCCGCGGGCCGGATTAAAAGGTCCGCCAGGCCGTAGTTTGCCCATTGCTGGGCTAGCTGCAGAGTCCTGACTTTTGGGGCGGCCGCCCGAGAGGAGGGAGGGGAGCGGGCGCCCGGCACACAGAAGAGCCGCATTGAAGTGTGTAAAGAGCCACGGCCTGCCGACCACTGAGCTACGGCAACGGCAACCCTATTGCCTGTCACCTGGTGGGCAGTGTGCTCCGGAGCCGCAGCAAAGGTGAAAAAGAGCCGCATGCGGCTCTGGAGCCACGGGTTGCCGACACCCGCATTAGGGTGTGCATCCCAAAGCTCAAACACACATGCATATGTGTGTGCGTGTGTGTATTATATATATATATATACACACACACACTATATTGCTAAACATATTGGGACACCCCTTCAAATTATTGGATTCAGGTGTATAAAATCAAGCACCTAGGCATGCACACTGCTTCTACAAACATTTGTTAAAGAATGGGCCACTCTCAGGAGCTCAGTGAATTCAAGCTTGGTACCGTGATAGGTTGCCACCTGTGCAATAAGTCCATCTGTGAAATGTCCTTGCTACTAAATATTCCACGGTCAACTGTTAGTGGTATTATACCAAAGTGGAAGCAACTGTGAACAACAGCAACTCAGCCACCAAGTGGTAGGCCACTTATAATGACAGAGCGAGGTCAGCGCATGGTGAAGCACACAGTGTGCAGAAGTCGCCAACTGTCTGCAGCGTCAATAGCTAAAGACCTCTAAACTTCTTGTGGCCTTCAGGTTAGTACAACACCAGTGCGTAGAGAGTTTCATGGAATGGGTTTCCATGGCCGAACAGCTGCAGCCAAGTCTTAAATCACCAAGTGCAATGCACAGCGTCGGATGCAGTGGTGTAAAGCACACTGCCACTGGACTCTAGAGCAGTGGAGACGTGTTCTCTGGACTAATGATTCACGCTTCTTGGTCTGGCAATCCGATGGACGTGTTTGGGTTTGGCAGTTGTCAGGAGAACGGTGCTTGCCTGACTGCATTGTGTCAAGTGTAAAGTTTGGTGGAGGAGGGATTATGGTGTGGGGTTGTTTTTCAGGGGCTGGACTTGGTCCCTTAGTTTGGGTGAAGGCAACTCTTAAGGTGTCAGCATACCAAGACATTTTGGACAATTTCTTGCTCCCAACTTTGTGGGAACAGTTTGGGGATGGCCCCTTCCTGTTCCAACATGACTGTGCACCAGTGCACAAAGCAAAGTCCACAGAGACATGGATGAGCGAGTTTGGAGTGGAGTAACTTGACTGGGCCTGCACAGAGTCCTGACCTCAACCTAATAGAACACCTTTGGGATGAATTAGAGTGGAGACTGTAAGCCAGGCCTTCTTGTCCCACATCAGTGCCTGACCTCACAAATGCCCTTCTGGAAGAATGGTCAAACAATCCTATAGACACACTGCTAAACCTTGTGGACAGCCTTCCCAGAAGAGTTGAAGCTGCTATAGCTGCAAAGGGTGGGCCAACTCAATATTGAACCCTACGGACTAAGACTGGGATGCCATTAAAGTTCATGGGCGTGTAAAGGCAGGCTTCCCAATACTTTTGGCAATATAGTGTATATATACAGCGCACACATGACACACCACCAGAAGAAGGTGGGCTAGGTACGATCTCTGAGGCTGGGTGCATCCCCATCCTGCCCTCTCAAATTTAATTGCAGTACTTGAAGCAAGGAGAAGGTAGGCTTCGCCGTGAGGATGTTCTTGCAGTCCTCCCAGGACTTAGGAGGGCCTGGAACTGCTGGTTGGAGGAGGTAGAAGAAGGAAATTCTTCCTGATAATGTGCATGTCATCCAATAGAGCAACTATAGGTGATTAGGGTGTACCCAGGCACAGCTGGCACACCCTGTGCACTCGCCTATGGATACAGTCATGTAAATCCTGGTACCCTAATGCTGTTCTTGGCTGAATTCAACAATGTCTCACATAGATTAGCCCCCTGTGTCAGTCCCTCACCTTCTGATATACTACAAAGTTACAATGCTGCAGCCTGGTCAATCCTTTGGTGGACTCATGACAATGTCTTAGCCTAAGCAAAGTCAGTGGAACTGAAATTCTAAGATTTCCTGAAAAATGTGAGTTTTGCTGTATACAATAGCATGTCAGGAATATTGCTTAATACTTAAAGGTAAACTTTAAGTTGAACTATTGTTTAGTTGTGCCATGATGATTCAAGTTCCAGCTCATCAGGATGTTCCCAGACTTTAGAGCACTATTAACATTACAAATGACTGAATCCATATTTATTTTTTCTAAAAAGTTATATATAATTTTTATCTGAAAGTAAAGTAATTTGAGCTGCAAATTCTTAGCCCTACCCCACTGGATCCGTAAAATGTAAATGAAAATAAAGATTTTCTCAAGTGCCTTAATCATTAATCAGAATAATTTTGTGCTTATAAGCTGGATGACAACAGGGAAGAAAAATATCAAATTTTCTGATCTTTGCCATAAGACATGCAGAGCAGATTTTCATCCAGATGGGACAAAAGCTGTTAAAAATCAGATATAATTTATTTCAAAGGCAAGAACAGAGCGAACTGAGCAGCAGAAAGGACGCCAAGCTAAATTCATGTTGTTTTCCCTGAGAACATGTCTCTATTATATGTACATTTAAAAAATAAATGTGGGTGTTTTGAATGGTCTAATTGTCCTCTCTTGGAGACATTGTTGGCTGTCCTGTTGAGCTGAAGTAACTGCAGCTTAGAAAGAAAAAAAATCCAAATGACCATTCACCTTCAACCACAGGAGACACAGGAATTCAAAGCTGCACTACTTCTGAACAAGGAATTTAAAGAAAATGTCCATTCATTTTTAATATATGTAAATAACTTGTATGAAATATAAGAATGCAGGATTTGGATGACAAGAAAATATTAAAATCCAACATCTCCATGCCAGGAATTCTCAGTAATACTGATTAGTCAGAGTCTTTGGTAGTTGCCAAGCTTTAATGTGTCAGATGTACCAAATGGTTGCTATAAACTAGGAGTAGGCCTTCACAGTATGGTCTGATAAAATCATAGTTTTATTTTTCTGACAGAGAAAAAAATTGGAAAACTTCAATACATAATGGAAACCCCAGTTTAACCATTTAAATGATTTAAATAGATATATTTGTACTTTTTTTCTCTCACGAACATATTATCAAAGTATGGTCTCTATGGTATCTAAATAACTTATCTGACGAAAAGATTGTTTAATAACATTTATATTTCTGCCCATGCCACCAACATGATATGATTACATATTAGGTTCAGCTCACGTTTTAAAAGTCTACTCTCATAGCAGTGCTGGTGTGCTGTAGGATGCAGTGGAAATGACTGCAGTGCCAACAGAGTACCAGGACAGGTAAGCTGCACTGCTACCAATGGCGTAGATAAGGGACATCCATTTACAAATCTCCATTCAGTGTCCCTGCTGCCGTCACTGCGCTGCTCTGCCTTAGCAACACTGTGGTTGCCACTGAAAATATGCTGGCTGACAGCATCCATACACACCACCGTTGCCCACCCTGTCAGCGCCAGTATTTGGTTGTGAGAACCTCCAGCGTCCCAGCAACTAGTCAGGAGTTTGCCCCACCCCCAGGCCCCAGCATTCAGAGTAGAAGGAGAATGGAACTCCCTCCTCCAAGCCTGCTGTGTCCCAGCTTCATGGTATATGTCATGCAACTGCCTGCTGCACTGAGAAACAGACCGTGATGTAAATTGGATCTCTGGGGACAAAGATCTAAGGTGGATATCTGGGAACCCTGATCTATGGGGGATCTCTGAGGACCCTTAATTAAGGGGGATCTTTGGGGACCCTTAACTAAGTGGGATCTATGGGGACAATGATCTAAGGAGGATCTCCGGGAGCCCTGATATAAGGGGGATTCCCAGGGATAATGATCTAAGGGGTATGTCTAGGGACCCTGATCTAAGGGGGGATCTCTGGGGACCCTGATCTAAGGGGGATCCCCAGGAATAATGATTTAATGGGTATCTCTGGGGACCCTGATCTAAGGGGTATCTCTGGGGACCCTGATCTAAGGGGGACCTTTGGGGACGATGATCTAAGGGTCATCTCTGGAGACCATGATCTAAAGGGGATCTCTGGGGACCATAATCGGTGATCCCCAGGATAAGGGGATATCACTGGGGACCCTTATCTAAGGGGAAAGCACTGGGGACCATGATCTAAGGGGGGGATCTCTGGGGAACCTGATCTAAGGAGGAGCTCTGGGGGCCCTCACCTAAGGGGGATCTTTGAGGACCATGATCTAAGGGGGATCTCTGGGGACCCTATTATAAGGGGGATTTTTGGGTACCCTGATCTAAGGTGGATCCCCAGGGATAATATATAAGGGATATCTCTGGGGACCCTTATCTAAGGGGGATCTCTGGGGACCGGTATTTAAGGGGTATTTCTGGAGTTCCTGATCTAAGGGGGATCTTTGGGGACAATGATCTAAGGGGGATCTCTGGAGACCATGATCTAAAGGGGATCTCTGGGGACACTGAGCTAAGGGGAAGCACTGGGGACCATGATCTAAAGGGGATCTTTGGGGAACCTGATCTAAGGAGGAGCTCTGGGGACCCTCACCTAAGAGTGATCTTTGGAGACCATGATCTGAGGGGGTTTCTGGGGACCCTGATCTAAGGGGGATATCTGGGGGACCCTGATGTAAGGGAGTAGTACTGCTGTACTACCATTACATAGCAGAAGTTGTGGCGCGGAGCCATAAAGCTGTATTAGTTGCGTCCAGTGGAGGCAATGCCTGTTAAAAGTGATATGCTATTTAAGTTTTGCTGCAACATGTATAAAGCCATGAGCAGGAGTATGTTAGTGTTCTTGGGTGGTAAAGCTATAGCTCCACTGCCTGGTTTTACTACCTCTTGGCTGCACCTGGGAATAAAGACTTACTCCTTCAGAGCCACCTAGACAAATGCACCCTATAGAGCCCCCACCCTCCCAGCTCCCCTCCTCCTTCAAACCACCACCAAATCAGTCCTTCTTTGACTCACACCACATTTTTCATTCCAGTGACACCACAGATACAGGGATATTTTTCTTTCCAGTGGTACCGCCCAAAACAGGGGGAATTTTTTCCCCATACTAATACTGGGGCATTTCTTTCTACATCATTGTTAGCCCAATATTTAATTGAAGGATATAATGTGTGCCGCTATTAAACACACCTGTAGGTGTTTAGCATATTCGCACTGTGCACTGGATGACCTTGTCCTAGCACTGGACAGCAGCTTCCTTGCGCTGCTCTGCTTGAGGAGACAAGCCCTGTATTATATATTACTGAACCTAATACTGCGTCCTGAAGTGTCTGCTGTGACATAGTACTGATGCTTTTGAACTTTTTTTGCAGGTCATATATTTAATAATACTAATATTATCCAACTAAATGCAAATGTACTATTCTCTCTGGGGGACCACAAAAACCCTATGGGGGAACCCTATTTTCTACAGTATTTAAACCCATTTTACAAGTGATTCTGCCATGTATGCTTACCAGTTATGCTATTGTAGCCTATATGGAACAGATAGTCTATATTCTTCTTTATATAGTATATAGGCAAAGTATTGTAAATGATTTATAATATCCTCCTCTTGTTACAATTCATAACAGGGATGAAAAATGTGAAGAAACAAACATACATGGCAGGTTTATCTATTAGGCAAAGGATTTTAGTATAGCAAATGTTTTTAAATAATGCTCTATAATTTTATTACTGAAAGCATACCACCTATGACCTTATATTTATACCTAAGTGCTGTAAAAAATTAGATCTA